GGCGGAAACCTAATCCCTTAAGGCAATTTGGTCTTTGAGAATTTCTCCGTCCACTCCCGCCATCTGCTTTCTTGGAACATATTGAATGAAAGAAAGGAAGAAATAAGGAAAAGGAATGAAGGAAATAAAAAGAAAGAATGGGACAATTCATGTTGCTGTAGTGTGTAAGATAAAACCGCAGAAGGGGCTGAATTTGATCTGGCACGTTGCCGCCTGTCTAACACCGAGCAATCGATACTTCACACATGTGCGTCGAACCGCGAGGTTTAGCACAAGTAAGGGAAAGCAAGGGCCAAGAAAACTGGTTAGCCGTGGCCACAAGTTAAACGCTTATAACCGACGAGCAGACACCGACAGAACATACTCAGCCAATGGACATGATTCTGAGCTCGTCACAACCTCACAAACTATCTTCAAAAAATTAATTTTAATATCATCCTTCCATCGCCTTCTAGATCTTTAAAGAAAGACAAGACATTGGTCATTGGAACACAAATTTATACTTCGAAACTCGTAGTTTTGTGCAAGAACCATCGCTTGCAGTCGAATTGATGTCTAGAGTCATGCATACACAAGTGCTATATACATATAATCTATATGCATGTAAAGAGTGAGCACAAAAGAACGTTAAACTTTTAAAATTACATAGAAAACGAATGCGGCGTACTTAGAACTTATGCCTACACCAACAGATTTTAAAAATTCTAAAAGTTTTGTACGTAACTCGCAGAGAATCGATACGCGCTCCGCGAGTCACAAGGCAGATGTCGAGACGATAATGTAACTCGTCCCAAACATTGTGCAGAGCATCTCCAGCGATCGAAGCTATGGCACTTGTGATTCGCTGCCTCGACTCTGGCAAAGATTCCGGCGTAAGCGGATACTCGGCTGGGTGGTTCCATGCGAAATGCACGTCGCACAGCTGTTATAGATTCCTTATTCGCTAACTGCAGAACACACGAACTTCTATGTTCTGGTGTAACCGTTTTCAAAACTAGTGACATCTAGGTGAGGTGCGCAACAACAGTCAGAACAGAATTTTGAGATTCTTTCTATCGACTGGCGTGGGTGTGAAGTTCTAAGAAAGCTCATAGATTTTCTGTATCATTCTGAAAATTTACAGTTATTCTGTGCTCACTCTGTATTTACTTAAAAGTGGTTAATTTACGGCGTTTCTAATTACTGAGACTACATAGCGTCAAATGATGAGATGATAGGTGAATGTTGAGATGGAAAGGATATGGAAGAAAACGAGCGTGGTCTTTTTTTTGGCAGTGTGCTGGCATTTGCCTGGAGGGACTAAAGAAAATCACGGAAATGTCAGTCAGGATAGCCAGTGTCCGGGCTGAGATTTGAACCCGGGACTTCCAGAATACGAATGAGTTAGTCTACTCAACCAATCTAGGGCAGAAGAACTGCTGTTCTGACCAAGGTCATTCCTGGTTTTGTGAGAGACATGTCCATCGACCTTTATTTTTTAACGGCATGGGTATAATAATGTGAAAATTCATTTGAAAAATGAAGAAGTCAGAAGTGGTTGATTTTAAGATGTTCTGTTTCGAGGCAACGAAGAATTTATTGAAGTTCACAGATTAAACGTTGGTCAGAGTAATGTTTGAATGAGGATTCATGTTTTGTATGCTTAAGAAAAGCTAGGCGACATGTTTAAGAAAGTATGTAGATATAAAGAGAAAAAACACAGTCCCTCTACGCAAATGCTGAGATATTTTAAACAGGTCACTTACTTTAACGTAATTCCCAATATTCATTATTCACAGCTACTCCTATTTCTGATATTGTATAATCTAAATAGCCGATGAAGCATTGTTAAATAAACGAATGGCAAATTACATAGCCTAACATTCACAAAAGCAAACATAGTATTCTTCTGACAAATAACAATGTAATCTTTCACATGCACAACTTCTTTTATGTAAAAAAACACGTACTATCTTTTGGGTCATAAATTTCAGGGGTTGGGGGTTGAATACCTAAACACCCCTGCATATAAGGACGAATGCTACATGTAACCACTAATATGAGGTACTGAACACTGATTCTGCATTCGCATTCTAACCTTGAATTCCCATCTTCCATCTTGGAACGCCAGCATTCTAAGTCCCGCTGCCGTGCTTGGACTCCATGACGACACACAAATAAATATGCGCACATAATCACAATAATATATAAACTATTAGCACAATAAAACACATATTAATAGACAAGTATTAACAATGACTTCCACAAAACACGTATAACTCCACAAACAGCAAACTGGACTGAAGCCAGCACCTGCAACGCCAAAGTTACGACGGGGGGGGGGGCGACGAAAAAAATTAGCACGGCATTTAATCAGAAAGACAAGTCACTAAGGAAAACTGATTCTTGTGTAGTTTTCAGTGATAGTAAATAAGAACTTTAGTATGTACTATAAAACTGTAGATGTAGATCTATGTTTGTCGGTTTGTTAGAGTGTGTGTAACCATCGGACGTTAAGAATGCTTAACTTCATTCCTCCATACAATTTCATTATTTGGTGTTCAAGCACAACCATCATAAAAGGCTTATAGGTGGGAAATGAGGACGTCTCATCTCTTCTGATAATAAATACCTCTCATACTCAAAATCCACAAGAAAGTAAACTTTCCTCATTGAGAAACACTTCATTATAACACGCCTAGGTAGTCAGTAAATCATCGAGTTCACAAATGGAGTTTTTTTCTGGTGAACAGCTATCAGTTATTCAAGGGAGGCCATGTATGAGGCTAGCTGCTGTTCATTCGTTCAATCGATTGGTTAATTATTCGTACAGAATGTTCTCTTTAACGTAGAAAAACACCAGATATTGTGACCGGTCTTTGAAGGTTTTTCTCAGTCCTCGCAGTAAAATCCTGGAACACTAACTTATCTAAAAATTGGTAAGGTTGCAGGTTCTCACGGCTTAGAGTATGGAGAAGACTGTCTTATCGGATGTTGCGACGTGTAATCTGGTAAAAGCTTCCTACATCATCAAGGCGATGCATTCGTCACACTGATTCTGGAAGCAGCAAGTATGTCTGAAACGTCGGTAAACTTCTGCCACACTACACGGTGCAATATCTCAAAAAACAGATGTCTCCTCATCTACATATTTAAGTGTCTGTACGCTTTGTAGTTGACAAGAGTAGTCAAACAAACAAAGATACGAACGAGATTTTTTTTTTCCATGGTTGTACAGAAAGAAACGAGAAAGAAGTTGTGAGGCGCTCACTTAAACACCGCGTGTTGCGTGATGCATCTCACATGATGGCCCGGCGTTAATTAAATGATGTTAATTGTTCTTACAAAAGCGCCTTGTCATCACCACAAAATTACAGCAATTAGTTGTCATCCCAGAGGAGTGGATTTTGTATTAAAATCAAAAGCTAAGTTCGACTAACTGACAAATTAGTTCTGTATGCAGTAACTAAACAATAAATGCTGTAAAGAATTAAGGCCACTACCTTCCCTTAAATGCTCCCCATTACTACCATAAATCACACATTGATTATTATATATGTTTGTCGCCTGTTTGCATTCATGATTTACCACTAGCAGGCTATAAAATACCCACAAACTTTTCAGTCATAATTTAATATTTCTCCTCGTATTCTCCATGGACCACAGACATTCTTGAGAATCTGACAGTTACTCATCTAATAAAATTCACCGTCTTCTATGGAACTCGAAGGTTTGTTACCGTGTTCACAAAAGCCCGCTACTGAAGCCTGTCTCGAATTACTTGAATCCATTTCAATTTCTAATTGTCTGCTTCTTTAAAATCTGTTTTAATTTGATCTTGCCATCATCACCTAAGACTCTTAAATGGTTTCTTCCCTTCAGGTTTTCCACTGCGTTGTGCAGAAAGGTTCTGGATGGTTCATGACCGTCTCTTATGGTGGGCATTGACAATAGGGAAGCTGAAATCTTGGTTTTTGCTACCCGAGAATTAATTCAATGGACTGATATACTGAGCCAGTCACAGTGGCCACACCGTTCAAGGTTTGCATGGTCTTGAACCGCTTGAACACTTGAAGAAGGCGCGAGAACCACGCTGACTGCCTTTGTCGAAGTTCTGTTTGGAAATTCTGCTGGTGATACACAAGAAATATGAACAACTTGTGGAATTTTAGATTCTCACGGCGGTGAAGATGTTGGTACTGATCTTCTGGGTTGTTTCGCCGTGTGGATTGTGGATATATGCCAATGTTTCGGCTGATTTTTTGCCTTCATCTTCAGGGCTTCCGGATTTCAAAACTGATGATAGAGGCAGTACGTTCTTCCAAGGCGTTGGTATCTACCCACAAGGTCACACAGCGTTACAACTCAGAAGACTGACATACATAGTATGAAGAATTTAAATTAGGATAATTAGGAAAAGAATCGATGGGGTGCTTTCCGAATACAGGCTTACAGCATTGCCACTACATCAAACTGCTCGCTGTTTATTTTTGTTCATTTCCGTTCTGAGCACTCCCGTTTCGCATCCGGGAGGTCCCAGGTTCAAACCCCGAACCTAAAAATTTATAATCCAACTGGAGGTTTTCCAGTCCTTGAAGTCAATTGCTTACATAGTACATGAAAGACGTTATGAGAACGATCGCCCTGATGATGGCGGCAGCAAGCTCATCTGAAACTTCTATCAATTTATACGAGACTACACGGACCAACATCCCAGAAGATAGTATCTTTATACTCGCTGCTGTAAGAAAGAATATGAAATCTAACATTAAATTAGGCCACGACCGCTTCCTTCTACATCTTTTCCAGTTCATTATTCGTTAATGATTGATCATCAATCGACGTTATATATTTGAGCAGTTGAAAGCGTCGAGTGAGTGTTGGGTGTGTGGGGGGGGGTGCTGGTATTGGGCTCGTAACCCCTCCCTCACGTAGTCACCAGGCATGGTGACGAAAACAGAATCGGTGTTAACAGCTGCAGATCGCAATGATTTAATGTTCACTCTCTGTTCCTGTTCCAGGTGTGGCCCGCTCAGTCGATGTGACAGACAGCTTGACAAGTAAGTAGACAGGTCCACTGTTGTGTGCAGACAGACTCACTGTGTCAATACACGGTTTCAAATTCGGTGTGAAGCCGAGAGGAAACTGGCGTAGGACTGAGTGCCTACACGTGCCCTCCTGTATATTTTCCATTTCCTACGTTTATATTATTATTGTTGTTATTCTATGTTCTCCATGTTCTACATCTTCTTCGTGTTAATCCTTCCTCTCGTTCTCTTCCTTTTGATTACAGCAGTCCCTCGTCCAACGCTGGGGATGCGTTGTTCCTCGAAAGCGATGCCTTCGGTGAATCCGCGTTGGACAAACTTCATATTGCATGAGATTAATAGGGATACGATAACGCGACCGTGGAAAATCAAAGTAGATAAACATCCATAAATGTACTGTAATGATATTTATTTGTGATACTTAAACTTATCGTTGGAAAGTTAGGCTTTAAAATAAAACTTCAACGGAACTTTCTGCAAAACGCTATGCGCACCACGCAATGCATCTAGCATATTTTATGTTCTCATCTAGTGCCACAAACATAAACTTTCCTCTGCTTCATCGTAACTTTTACATTCACGCTGTCAAAGGAAAATATCATACACCGTAAAACAATACGAGACAAGTTAGTTAACACAATGACAACGTAAGACCGAGGGTTACGTGCAGTTTCAGTGACGAAGACAGGGTACAAAAGGCGTGGAAGGAATAAATCGTGGGATGAATAAAACAAACCAAATTGGTTATACAAACACATACCTAAAATCTAATCGTCATCGGCTTTTCAAATAGCAGTGGTATTTTTCGTATGCTAATACAGCGAGTTTGGCAGACCGCGAAAATCGTGTTTTCCGCGCTCGTCAAACAGTCGTTATCGTTTATTTTCACGCGTATAATCGAATCCGCTTTGGACGATGGTTTACTTTGTGTTACTTATTGTACTCCCAACCTTCACTTCAAGCTGGTTTATAATTTCATTTCGGTAATGCTTCTTACAAGAAGTGTAAATTTTACTTCAGCATAAACATGTTACCTCATAAGGTTCGTACACGCACCCACATAAACATACATATATACATTTGTAGGCATATACATAAGTATAAAAGCACTGGAACATATTTTCTCACATAGGAACCAATAGAAATTTCCTGGAAATGTTTGATGCATTAAACAGTAGTTGCTTCTATGAGTTTGTTTATAGCTTCATGACTTGAACACTTAATGTTGTGTAGGGTTATGGAAAAAATTACTTACACTGGATTACAACGTAATCTTTGGTTTTGTTTTATGTTCATTTGTTAATAAACTTTTTGTAACAGCCAGTGCATGAAACAGAACACTTATGGAAGCTTTATGTTCTTCAGTATGTACTGCAACTTTCCAATCTTGTTTATTTTGAGAATCTAACAATACTCATGAATAAAGTCTATTGGACACTGTCGAAGTATTGAACGCAAGGCAGATGGTACATGAAGATTTCTGTCTTCTGGGTTGTTGCGCTGTGTAGTCTGGCTGATGTTTACCAACGTTTCAGATTAATTCATCGCCCTGATGATGGGAGCAGTATGACCTCTGAAACGTTGGTTAAGATCGACCAAACTACACAGCGCAACAACACAGAAGACAGAAATCTTCATACTAAGAATCGCCCTGATGACGGAGGCAGTATGACCTCTGAAACGTTGGCTAACATCGACCAGACTACGCAGCGCAACAACCCAGAAGACAGAAATCTTCATACTCATCGCCCTGATGATGGAGGCAGTATGACCTCTGAAACGTTGGCTAACATCGACCAGACTACGCAGCGCAACAACCCAGAAGACAGAAATCTTCATACTCATCGCCCTGATGATGGAGGCAGTATGACCTCTGAAACGTTGGCTAACATCGACCAGACTACGCAGCGCAACAACCCAGAAGACAGAAATCTTCATACTCATCGCCCTGATGATGGAGGCAGTATGACCTCTGAAACGTTGGCTAACATCGACCAGACTACGCAGCGCAACAACCCAGAAGACAGAAATCTTCATACTCATCGCCCTGATGATGGAGGCAGTATGACCTCTGAAACGTTGGCTAACATCGACCAGACTACGCAGCGCAACAACCCAGAAGACAGAAATCTTCATACTCATCGCCCTGATGATGGAGGCAGTATGACCTCTGAAACGTTGGCTAACATCGACCAGACTACGCAGCGCAACAACCCAGAAGACAGAAATCTTCATACTCATCGCCCTGATGATGGAGGCAGTATGACCTCTGAAACGTTGGCTAACATCGACCAGACTACGCAGCGCAACAACCCAGAAGACAGAAATCTTCATACTCATCGCCCTGATGATGGAGGCAGTATGACCTCTGAAACGTTGGCTAACATCGACCAGACTACGCAGCGCAACAACCCAGAAGACAGAAATCTTCATACTCACCGCTGTGAAAACCTCAAATCTTACACAGATGACACATGTAGTTACATAGTCCTTCGAGGGGCTAAAGAAAGAAGCAGTGAGGGGTTCTAAAAATGTCGCCAACTTAAAATGCATAAATGAATGCTAAGTGTGAATAAATATTTTGTATTTTTAATTATATTAGATGAAAGCATATGAGATCGCAGAGCCGGGCAATCTTGTACATTTCTCCGCAGTCTTATCTTACTGTGACCCTGACATGTGACAGAATCGCAATCATGGACTTCACAAACCCGCTGTGTACTTCAAACGCATCCTTCATGTGTCATTTGGCACGCACTGCTAAAGACGTTACATGACAGGCAACGATAAGAGTTTAATTACTGGTTGGTGGGGGGGGGGGGGGGGGGGGGCTGTCAACACTCGGATACAGTGACTGACGTTTCCTATGATATCGGCTGTGATAACCTTGTTTGTTCCGTTAAGTCGCGTCCCAGCACGTCTCTGTTCCTATAGAACTGCACAAAAAATCTCAACAACATTGATATTATAACATTGACCACAAAAATCAACAATGTTGCTATTGTATTCGCCCCTAAATAATGTCAATAATATCATCTCATAACAATCTTAACGGTATTGTTACTTTAATAATGCGTATAACAAACATTAGGGCTATGATAATAATGAAGGCAGCAAGTACCTATGAAACGTTGGTAAATTTTAGCCACAAATTGGGTTTTCAATTACATGACGACTCTTTCTTAACTTCGTCGATATTTTGGCTTAGGACTGAATAGTGGAGAAAGTTATGTAATGGGGAACATGGGTATTCGTTGTCTTCATCAGGATAATAGTATTAGCGTATTTAAATGACGAACAGTGAGATGAATAAGATCTGTTGCATGCATAGGAGAAATAAGAAATGCATATATGATTCCGATTGGAAAATCTCGAGAGAAGAAATCACTTGGAACAACTTAGAAGTAGATGTGAAGATAGTTTTTCATTGTTCTTCGAGAAACCGGCTGTGAAGTTGTGAAATGGATCCACCTCGATGAGGATGTGATCGATGGACGGGATATTTTATATCACGGTATAATTTCGGATTCTACAACACAATTTTTTTGTCAGATTAAAACTGCCAACTGCTCGACGTCGACGCAGAAACTTCCCGTGTAATTAGTATCAACTGAAGAGTTTATTTATCATCGTATAAGAACAGCGACTTGCTTTTCTTACCTCGTGGGTAAAGAGACGAGATCTTGAACCTGACCACTCACCTCACCTGATGTGGGATTTTGTCGGATGCCTGCATTGTTCGATGCTTGGATAGGTTAGGTTAGTTTCCACTTATGAGTCATGAAGTTTCAGGATCGGCTGCGTACAATGTCTATAGTGAAACGTGGCTATTTGACAGCAACATACATTCGACGATCTTACGAGGGTGAATATCCCCTGCCTTTCTGACCAACCGACCTCAGAATATCGAAGTAATTACTCCGAGTAGCATGTAGTAGCCACAAGATGTGGTTTCGATACTCCAACTATTGCAATCCTGGAGCTAAGCCGATTACGGAAGTGTGATTGGAATTACTTAACCCGAGGGAAGGAAGAAAGATAAAGCCGATGACGCTGTCCAAGTCTGCACTATAGCCTCTCCCTCTTGTTTCCAGAACTAAATTGCAATTAAGCTTCAATAGCTTGAGGCTTCATGAAATGTGTCCGGACTCTGGAATATTGACATTCATTGAACTTCGGTCAGCATGGTCACTAGTTCTTTGACAAAGTGAATAAAACGAACATGTAACAGGGTGGTCGTGTCTGTCTGTCTACGTGTTTCATCTCAGAAACTACTACATGAATCTCGATACTGAGGATGCAAATGAAACACTGCAGGGTGGATTTTGGCTAACATTCGTTAAAATCGATCCTATATAGATCCTCACTACTGTGGATGACCAAATGAAACACTGCAGGGTGGATTTTAGCTAACATTCGTTAAAATCGATACTATATAGATCCTCACTACTGTGGATGAACCTGATATCAAACTTTATCGCGTTTCTTGAGTGGCACCTTGTATAAAAAAATTGGCATATGTAATATAAAATATAAGTCTTTGTAAAGTCTACATGGAATAATTGTTTATTAGTAACAAAATACAAAGAAAAATCATTTCTCCTTATGCAGCGTTATCTGTAGTACAGTTAGTTTTGCAAGAAGATATTTTAATCTAAAATAAATGAAAATCAAGATCAGTTACGTACACAAAGACGCAAATAATAAATTTGAAAAAAACATGTGTTGCCCTACTCAAACCTAGAGTTTGGAAATTCTTTGGATATTCTTCATTTCTTATTTTATAAAAAAGAGTCATACAGAAACACGCAATGGATAAATGTCTTTATTTTGTTGAGCGTATCAAAAAAGTTAAATATATTATTACATTTCCAGTACAATGCAAATAATGCTCCACGCATTCTTAACCATTGCAGTAAATGAAGTAGATTGGTCAGCTTCACGCTCCAGTTGCTTTATCTCCGCACTAGATCTGATAGCCATAGTCAATCTGGCGTGGTGGGTGTCAACTGCGACTGACTGACAAGAGATTTACAACTAAAAATGATGTCGCGATTTATTAATTCTTGGACCCGTCTGCGTGTCGTTCCGATCCCAAATCCGAACGAAAAAGTGTAGCGCTGTTGTATGCTCTTGATTGATATCCGAACGTCGAAGCAAACGGGCAAGCTTTCAGCAGCCAGAACACATACCAGTAGACCAGCGGTGGAAAGAATTATCAGATGATATCAGCAATAGGAGATTTTCAATCTCGTACGAATGGTTCAAATTCAACTTTCAGTCCCATATTAAGCTTAAATACAACTTATAATTTCTTTAAAAATGTTGTCATCACACAAATATAGAACTAATTAAAATACAAAATTTCTATTTAAAACATTTTTGGACGTAATTATTTTTTAAGAAAATTCGGGAAAAATCAACTGATGGCTATTTGCTGCATGGAAGTATTGTGACTGCCAATACAACTATGGGTTTTAATCGGAAATAACAGATTAGTGTAAGCTGTAAATGAAAACCATCTAAACAACAGCTTGCGTAATTAAAACGTATGTGTCTCTCACCCGGATCTAGACTAATTTTCTGAATTACCTTTTCTTATCTCTCTCAGACGATTATGAAAGATTAAGGTCGAACTCATAACCTCATCAACCACGATTCTCGGTTTTGTTGGCAACTGTATTTAAGTTCTCCTTGCTTTTATTTGTTATTGTATTTTGTAAGGAAGTTTTGAACAGTTTCAAGTATATATGAAGTTCTTATGAGAACTATACATACAAAAAGTACGTACCTGTGTAAAAATGTTAGAATTGTTAGAATGTACTTGTAATCCAAAGCTAGATATTTTATAGAGTGTTCTCAAGAAAACACAAGTCATTGCTTTCAATGAACACGATGACCATGTTGAGATGCACACTTAGCTGTCACAACAATTGTCCGTTCAACAACTGAAGATCGTAATGTATTAATAACATGCCACAGCTTCATAGTTACCTAAACACACACACCGGTAAAGCGGCGCTCGTGTTGTAAAAATGTTGACGAAATCGTTGATTGTTAAGATAATTATACGTCTTAAAGGAAATATAAGAAGTAAAAGGGGTAAGAGGAAACATCTATATAAGAATATGGAGAGGATCAAAAGATTAAATTTCATAATAACAAGAAGAAGAAGGACATGGAAGAAGGTTAACGTACCATGACTACATCGGTTGATACAGCGTTGTAAAAGAATTGCATAAATAAATAAACACAAAGGACAGGAAATCAGAAAACAGCTTAATATTGGAGCTGTTCTTCATGTATAAAGAAAGAAAAAATGTGACAATATAAAAAGGATATGCCTGTGAAAACTCAATAATTATTCGCCCTAATCCTGTGTCTCAGTACAATTTTGATAAATGCGACAGGGTGAAAACCCTGGAAAGTTGAAGTTATC